ATCAGTACACTCGGGGCATCCCCAAACATCCGTTCCGTTTCGAATATCTTTCCCCTCCTTGGTTTGTAAAGAAGAAACGAAAGACGCTAAACATCTATCTCTTCAGATCCATCTCTTCAAAAATGATTTGTTTCGCAGTCAATGGATTCCAAAAATAATGTATTCTACCTCCATGTCTCGAATATGAAAGATGATTTCAGGAGCGGAGCAGTAAACCGGGTTAAGTCGATTTTAACTGTTGGCCAGTTTTTGACGAATATCTCGGAATCTAAAAGAGATACAAAAATTGTTGTCATAACCTTTTTTGTAGAGCCAGCTGAGGGTTACAAGAAAGGTCATGAGCAAAATTTTGCTATCTCTCTTAGATTCCGAGATATTCGTAAGAAAATGGCCAAATGGAAAAATCGACTTAACCCGGTTACCGCTTCGCTACTGATTTCAAGAATAGTAGCAAGAGGCGAGTGACATCAGACTCCAACATCCGTTTACTGGAGTCAAACCTTCCACACATGCCTCGAACCGCGACAACAAGTGTCTCCACTCAATTAAATGCAAATTCTTCACAATTCCTCACACGTCCCCTTCATACTTTTTCATTACTTCCCCCAAAAGGAACGATATTGATATTGATGACGCTGCAACTGCATGAAAACGAGAATTTGAATTTCATGGACCACCCCCGTCACACGAAAGTGAGCAATCTGGGTTCAAGTGATATCTGAATCAGCCGGATTTTCTTGAAACTCAAAATAATAGTGAGATAAAGATTATCAATTTGAGGTCTCAAGTCCAGATGTATTGAGTACATTTGAGCGGACGAGATTAACCTATCTCCAAGAAAACATTAAGAGTACGTATCGATTGATAGCGGGTACCCAATAAGACGGAGAAAATTCTACGTTCATTTGGAAGAACAACGTGAACTGTGAAATACTGCCATATATTCAATAAAAAATGACGGGTAATTCATCAAATTTTCGCGCTATGGTCGTAATTTTTCTCTGTGTGCTATTAGAATTTGTTCAAAGTGACGTGATTAATCCCGAACGCAAAGCTCTGTACAGACTCCCCAAAAATGTTTCCCCAACCGCTTACGAATTATGGCTGTACCCTCATCTGAAGTCAAACAACTTCACGTATGAGGGCCGTGTAATTATATCCCTCTCAGTTCTCTCAAGCACAAACTCCATTATCCTAAACGCTGACGGGCTGAACATCATTCAAGAAAGGAGTGAATTGCTCCACGAGAACAATTCGATCCAAATTCTTTCTCAAAACTTGGATGAAGAAAGACAGTTCTATATCATCTCCCTGGCTGTCGCCATTCCACCCGGTATCTACTCCTTGCGGTTGGATTTTGTCGGAGAAATCCGAGACGATCTTTTCGGCTTTTATCGAAGTGCCATCAAAGTCGGGAGTAAAACGAGGTATGATGGATGTTGAGCGCTTCCCGGGAAGACCCAAATGACTATTGTATACGGTGATGGGGGCGATGCGCGACCCTCCATCAGATTAGATTAACATTCAGTGGTTTGACGAGATGGATAATGGTTATCTAAGACATTTGCTTTACCGAATTTCAGATGGATGGGAGTCACGCAATTCTCACCAACTTTCGCTCGTGCCGCTTTTCCTTGTTTCGATGAGCCGCACTTGAAAGCAACTTTTCAACTTCATCTCGGACATTATAACGATGAGAGAGTTACGGCCAATACATTTCCATTTGTGAATACACCAACGTATGAAACTAAATATTAAAATATTGAATTGCATAGTCTTCTATTTACTTCTAACATTGAAATCATTTTCAATTTGGGTCGACTCCATAATATACTGTTGAACTTTCCGACTTTCATGGGAAAATCAATGAAGACTTCAAATTTTCGTTCATTTATTCCCTGAAGATTAGCAGAAATCAGAAAAATTCCGGTGAATATATTCTTGACTGTTGAATTAATTGAACATTCAGCGTAGTTCGGCATGGACTATTCACGTTTTTATTGAAAATCCAAATAGATTCAAGACCTCGTCTCAATACTGTCGAAAAAATGTGAATTTTATTGAATATCCGTGAAATTTAAAATTGATTTTCATGATTTTTCTGCATTAAATCACATTCAATGTCACTCTCGTGAACATTACTAGTCGACTCTCAATATGTCTTTTGGTGTCTTTTTTTAACAGTGTAGCTGAAAAGGTTTAAGTCGGCGGGAACATCGAAGAATGTTCCTTTTGGAATAATTTTTTTTTTAGTTTATAATGATTTTTGCGAACTTTGATTAGAATGTGTTAATGATCGTAATTTTTTTCGCCATCCACTGAAAAAACACTAATTTTGCCAAGGAATTATGTTCTTGGGAGCAGAATTTTTTTTTAGTATCGTATAACTCTAGTCATTCCCAAATGGTCCAAGCCTATCTTCAAATTTTACAATTATATTGAATTATGGGATGATTACACCATATATGACCTTGAATCAGCTCCATTGACAATTATTAACATTTAGAGTTATTCAAAATTATTTTACGTAAGACAATCTCAAATTTGAATAATATTGAACAATAATAAAGGGTTTTCATTATTAAAGTCATATGTAGCACAAACATCGTATAATTCAACATAATTGTAATATTTGAAAAAGGTCATGGACCACTCGGAAATCACTGGAGAAATACGCTCCTAAAAAAATTAACTTTTCTCCCAAGAAAATGATTCCTCGGTGAAAGAAATTTTTTCTCAGTGTGTGACAAATTTATGTTCCTTACATAACAGCAATGGAGCGAGATATTTTTCTGGTCATAATTTGAGTAGTTCAACACTATCACTTCTATGTAAATAAAATGTGAAAATCACCTAAAATTTGTATAAATTTTGAGTCGTTTGACATTGTTACTACTATTTAAATGGAGTATGAAGGTCACATTACTTTTGGGTCACAATAGTATATTTCGTCATTAGGCCGAAAAAAACTTTTCTGGCGAATATGTGGTTTGAATCATATTCGTCAGAAAAGTTTTTTTTGGCCGTATGACGAACAATATTTTTTGTCACGACGGCCGTAGGCAGAGATCCGTGAAACGCTGCCTTACGGCCGGAATGACAAAAAATATGTCATAAACTTGAGGAGTGTCCATGATCTATGTAGTTGGAATATGACGGTCACATGTTATTGCCGTCATAATTTATACATGTGATGAAAATTGTCATCACTGCCATCTGTCACGTGACGGTCACATGACGTGTCACAACATTTTTTCGCATTCCTAACTTCGCTGCTCTATTGAGCTTCGCTGACGCCAAAGTATCTCACTCTCAGAGATTCCTTCTCCCCTGCATTATCAATATGATTGTGACCTTCAATTTTTTCTCTAGAGAAATAGAGAACTATACTTTGACAACAATGTTGCCAACCCCGAGAATGCCAACTTACCTGTTCTGCTGGTCAATCCACAATTTCGAATACGACTGGCCCCCAAATACTTCATTCTTCGGGATATGGACGAGAAAATCAATGTACGGAAAAGGTGATCACGCTTTAGAGAAGGGTTTACATTTATACTCGATCCTTCAATCATGGATGGATATTCCGAATCCAATTACTAACATGGTACACGTGGCTGTACCAGATTTCCATTTTTCCGCGATGGAGAATTGGGGAATGATAACATTTCGCGAATCTGTTCTTCTTCACGGAGAAAACGTAACCCCTTCGGCGACTATCCACGGAGGATTGACTACGATGGCTCATGAATATGCTCACACGTGGTTCGGTAATCTGGTGACTCCGGAATTTTGGACAGTCGCGTGGTTGAAGGAGGGTTTCGCCACTTATTTCGCTTATCTCGCGAGGTCACTTGTTGATACAGAGCTGAGGGCCATGGATCTGTTCGTAGTTGAAAATTTGGAGACTGCTCTTTTGGAAGATTCAGAAAAACATCTAAGAACTATGAATGGAAAGGATGCTGGCGAAAATAATAGTTCTTTGAGTGTTATGGATTTCGTTCCTTACAAAAAAGGTTGGTTCGCTCACCTTTAATCCTGATACCTATTCTCACATGATCTTGCCTTAGGCATGATTGATTGGTTGTAGGTTCCTCCGTGATCCGAATGGTCGCAGAGTTGATGGGTGCGAAGGACTTCCAAATGGCGATGAGGTCTTATCTGAAAGATAGGTGGGTATAATAAACTATGTACATGGTAGAAAAATTACTGATGAAATGTCGAGTAAAAATCTTGCCATTTTTAATAATGACTATGCCATATGAATTCTCTATATATGTCGTTATTGAAAAATGGGGTTATTTCTGGAATATTCCATGAAAGTCCAATTCTCAGGTCCATACCATCATAATGAAAAGAATTCAGTAGCGAAGTGGTATAACGGTACAAGTCAATTTTGATTATTGACCAGTTTTCAATGAAGATCTCGGAATCTAAGGAAGATATCAAAATTTATATTATAACCTTTTTTGTAGAGCCGATTGAGAGCTAGAACAAAGGTGTGTTTGGTGAGGAACTAGTTTAGGGTGGATGTGGGATGAAAATGTGGAGGGAGATGTTGGGAAAATTATTTTAGGCGTTTTAGAAAATTATCACTATATTTGGTGTGGGATCGAACCACTTATCACAATTTCGGTACACTCTTTGGTTTCAATTATTGTTGAATGTCTAATTTTCACTGATATTGTCCTTTTGCACCTTATCTCGTTGAGTCACTGAAATTTCTGAACTTAATCAATAAGTTGATGTACTGAACAAAATTATTAAATTTATAATACTGTTTAACTGAACACGCTAGCTCATTATCGTAACGATACTTCCACACTACTACTGACTGACTCTTCCGGGTGCCGCGTTGACCTGTGTCCGTTGACCCGAAAGTTCACGGAGATTTTCGGAGATGGCCGAGTTAGTCGACCGTAACCATTTTGGAGATTTAGGCTGTATTTCGAACACCCCGGGGGCAATTCATCATCAGGGATGATGAATTAATGGTGATTTTAGTCCTGTTGATCTTCTGCATCATCGTCTGGAGGTTGCTCTGGAGGTGGTGGATCTGATGGCAGTAGGCAAAGCTTGGTGATTGGTCTGTCAAGCTCTGTGTAGATTGTTCTGATGTTTTCTATGATTGGTGATCCATCTGCCTGCCTTGGTACCTCTGCCTTTGCGGTTCTTATAGTTGCGACTCTCGTTAGCCCATCTGCTCCTGGGCGTGTCGCAATGACTCGTCCGATTGGCCATTGTGCTGGTGGATAGTTTTCGTCGATCATCAGCACCATGTCGCCAACCTTGATGTTCTCTTCTCGATGCGTCCACTTGTAGATTGCCTGATATCGTTGAAGACACTCTTTGGCCCACCTGGACCAGAATTGTTGAGTTAGCTGCGTTACCAGGTTCCATCTCTGCAGTTTGCTGGGGTTCTTGTCGATGATTGATGGCTCTGGAATCAGTTGAAGAGGCTCACCTATCAGGAAGTGTCCTGGGGTGAGTACTTGGAGATCGTCTGGGTCATCTGACATGGGACAGATTGGCCTGGAATTTAGGCAGGCCTCTATCTGGATCACGACACTGTTGAGTTCCTCAAATGTGAGTGTTGTTGTCCCCAAGACTCTTCTAAGGTGATATTTTGTTGATTTCACCGCTGCTTCCCACTTGCCTCCAAAATGGGGTGCTCGTGGTGGTGAAAAGCTCCATTGAGTCCCATTGGTGGCGAGAGCAGCCTGAACCTGCTGATTTTCTCTGGATGTTCGGTGGTAGATTTTCTCTAGGACCTCTGCTGCGCCCACGAAGGTAGTGGCATTGTCACTGTACATGACAGCTGGAATACCCCGCCTTCCGGTGAATCTCTTGTAGGCTCCGATGAAGGCGTCCGTTGTCTGCCTGGTGACTAGCTCTAGGTGAACTGCTGATGTGGTGAAGCACACAAAAACTGCAATGTGCACTGACCCTGGTTGTGCATTCGTTGGTCTCCATTTGAGGATGGCGAATGGTCCTGCATAGTCCACCCCTGTGTGGAGAAATGCTCTTGCTGGTGAGATTCTCGTTGCTGGTAGTTGACCCATCTGTTGCTGGGCCTGTCTTCCTCGGTGTCTGGTGCAGATGGCACAGCGTTGAATATATGCTCTAACTGTGCCTCTGCCGCCGATTATCCAGTACCTTTGTCGGGTATAGGCCAAGGTGAGTTGAGTTCCTCCGTGGAGTGTTTTCCGGTGAGCTTCTTCGATGACTAGTGTGGTGAGGCGTGATTGGCGAGGCAAGATTATTGGGTGAATTTCGTCTGGATTTAACTGCGAGTTCTTGAGGCGTCCCCCAAGTCTCATGATCCTTTCGTTGTCTAGTGTGGGTGTCAGCTTGGCTAGTTGATGATTTCTCGGTAGTTGGTGATTTCTCTGGAGTACTCGAATGGCTGGCCCAAAGTATTGATGTTGGGTTATCTTTACCCAAAATAACCTCGCGTCGTTGAGTTCTCTTGTTGTCAAGACAGGTCCCGGGGGCGTTGGCTGCCTCCTGAATCTGTCGATAGCTCTGTTGACCGTAGCTGTTACGGCTAGCAATTTAGCCATCGTCTGATATCTGTTGAGTAGCTCTGCAATTTCGTTGATTTTAATTGCAACTGGATGTGCTGGTGCTGGTTTTGCTTCTCTGGCCACTTCTGGGATGTCCATTGCTGGAGCGTCGATTGATGATTGTGGCCATTCTTCAGGATCCTGATTGATCCACTCAGGTCCTGACCACCACAGTTGATGATCTTCTAGCTGGCTCGGTGATATGCCTCTGGAGGCACAATCAGCTGGATTCTCCTTTCCACTGACATGTCTCCAGGTAGCATTCGGGAGAGTTTCCTGGATCTTGACGACCCTGTTGTGGACGAAGTCCTTCCATCTTGATGCGTGGCTCCTGATCCAAGCTAGTGCTACTGAAGAATCAGACCAGAGATAGGTGTCTACCTGGTCGAGTTGGAGCATTTTCTTCGTTGATGCCACTAGCTGAGTCAGTAGAAGAGCTGCTGTGAGCTCTAGTCGAGGGATGGTCATGCGCTTGAGTGGTGCTACCTTAGTCTTCGCGCATACCAGTACTGTTGATGTCGAGTCGTTGATGGTTTTGGTGCGAATATACACCACTGCACTCATGGCTACCGTTGAAGCGTCTGCAAATCCATGTATTTGGATGTTGAGTGTCTCTGTTGAAATTCTCAGCCATCTGGGTACAGTTACTCGGTCTAGGTCGTTGAGATTCTCTCGGAATGTCTTCCAGCGTTGAACGTACTCATCTGGAAGAGGATCATCCCATTTTAGTTTCAATCTCCAAAGATCTTGTAGGAGAATCTTTCCCTGGACGACAACTGGTGCGATAAATCCCAGTGGATCAAAAATCTGGGCTATTTCTGAAGAGACTACTCTCTTGGTGATTGTCGCCGGATTGAAATCCTTTGATTTGTACCGGAATGTGTCGGTGGATTGATGCCAACACAATCCAAGCACCTTGGTGACTGACTCCTCGAACTGGATAATTTCTTCGTCAGTTGATAGGCCCAACTCATGCAGAGCTTCTGGACAATTGCTGCTCCACTTCTGTAGAGAGAAGCCTCCTGCATGGCAAAGCCCTTGTAGTTGCGTTGCGATCTCCTTGAGACCGTCTTCTGTTTCTGCACCGCCGTAAATGTCGTCAACGTAACGACCTCTGGTGAGTGTCTCTACTGCTGCTGGGAAGCGGTACCCTTCATCTTCTGCTAGTTGTTGAAGAACACTTAACGACAACCATGGAGAGCAATTTAGTCCATAGGTGACTGTCGTTAACTGGTAGGTGACTGGTTGTTGATTCTCGTCGATCCACAGGATTCTCTGAAGATCCCAGTCATCTTGGTGAACTCGTATTTGGCGGAACATCTTTACAATATCCGTGTCAAACACGAGCCTGTGCCTTCTCATCCAAGTCAGGATAACCATTGTATCGTTCTGTAATTTTTCAGAACTCTCAGCTTCGTTGTGATGGCCTCCTCTCTCAGTACCCCGTGATGTGGTAGATAGTAAGCTGGCACGGGTTCTGGAGTCTCTGGTGCTATTCTCATGTGTCCCAGTGCTGCGTACTCGTTGATGAACTCTCTGTACAACTGGGAGTATGCTTGATCTGTGTTGAGTCGACTCACGATCGATTTGAGTTGACGTGCTGCTTTGAATTTCGATTCTCCGAGCGCTGCTGCTGAAGTTTTGAGGGGCAGTCTCACGATGTATCGCCCGGTGTTGTCTCTGCTATGAGTTGCTCTAAAGTGCATCTCGCACTCGTACTCATCTGGTGAAAGCTCTGATGTTGATGATCTCTCGTTTGGCAGTTCTTCCTGGACCCAAAATTTCTGGAGAAGCTCTAGAAGTTGTTCATTCGAAGATTCCCGTACAGCTGATAGAGATACCTTTATTGAACAATTTGTGCATTCGATTGGTCCGGATAATATCCAACCGAATACTGTGCGTTGGCCAACTACTCTCGATTGCTCTGACTTGACAACGTCATCCATGATGATCCGCCCATAGTTGTCAGCCCCTAGTATGATGTCGATTGGTCCAGGCCTTAGATAATGGGGATCGGCTAGCTGAAGATTCTGAAGTGAGCCGATCCTCGCTGATGAGCATGAAAATGACGGAATTATTGTGGTGAGCTTCTTTAGAATGTGGGCGTTGAGTTGCAGTTGATGAGTCCCACTGTTCGGTTGTAGAGTGACTGAAACTATGAAGAAAACTGAAACTCACCAGAAAAAAAAAAATATAATAAAAAAAAAAAAATTTTAAGAGAATTAGAATTTAAAGAGAAAAAATTTCCGCTTCACCCAGCCGGGAATCGAACCCGGGTCTCCCAGATACGCGCCGGGCACTCTTACCGACTAAGCTACCGGGAACCACAGAAATTCACTCTCAAATTCACCTCAAACACCGCCTAACCTCCTTTAGGAAAAAAAATTTCCCGAACTAATTGTTCAGAGATAAACGATACCGCTGAACCCTGGTCGATGAGTGCTCTGGCTTTTGTCGTGAATCCTCTCGGTGATATGACTTTTACTCGTGCTGTTGCCAACTATTGAACTGTTGAATTCATTCACTCACTGTTCCCGTGATCTTCTTGCTGCCTGGATGTTCCAGCAGTCTGGACGGGTTCAGCTTGAGTGCGTCTGGCTGGAGGCGGGCTCATCGTCCATGAACTCCCTCCATGGATGAGAGTGTGGTGATATCTGCTACATTTGTGGCACTTCTTTTCCGACGTGCACTTCGCCTTCGTGTGTGGCCCCAAGCAGTTGAAGCACAGCCCCTTGTTGATAACGACGTCGTTTCTCTTCGCTGGGGTGAGCTCGATGAACTTCTGACAGGATGCGATAAAATGCTTGTCCTGACAGTAAGCACAGCAGTTCCTAGGAAGTTGTCTTTCTGGCTCCTTAATTTCCTGCTGTTGAGTTGCTGCCGTATAGGTGCTCCTTTTCTTTATAGGAGCTGACTTCTTCGTAGCTGCGTTGAGTTCCTTTGATGATAGCAGCTTGGCACCTGCGTTGATCCCTCTGCCGCAGGCCTCGATGAACGCCACGAACTCCTTAAGGCTCGGGAAATCCTTTGAGTCTCCCAGCTTTAGTTCCCATTGCTTGAGTGTCTCTGCATCAAGAGATCTCCTCAGTAGATGGGCTATCAGCTGTTCAGCGATGTTGTCTGTCGTCAGCCCCGTCACGTCTTGTAATTGATCTAGGGTCTCCAATGCTGCTGCTCCGTTGGCGCTGAGGTTCTCTTCTGTTGCTTGGGTGATTTTCGGCAGCGTCAGGATCCTGTTGAATAACGACTGAGCGACGAGTCTAGGGTCTTCGTACTTCCTGGTGAGTTTCTGCCAAGCCTTGTCGTAGTTTTCGTCCTTGGCCTGAAAGGTGGAGAGGAGAGCTGCTGCTGGACCTCTCAGGCATCCCTTAAGTCTCACCAATTTCTGTACTGGTGGAATTGACGTGACATTTCCCACCAGTGACAAGAAAAGGTCACTGAACTCCTTCCATTCCTCCGGTTTCCCATCGAATGGCTTGATGTCAAGACGTTTCAGCTGATTTGCCTGGCTTTGATCTGTTGAGCTGCTGATTGAATCCCTTTCCCTTGCCAGTTGACCCTTCAGCCGAGCAATGAGCATCAGGGCTTGTCGTCTTGTTTTGGTGGCTCGTTCATGGATCCTTTCGTTCACATACTCGTGATCAGGGGGAAGAAACTCGGCTAGATTGGCATAAATCTGAAAATACTCGCTCTATTCTGCCTCAATTATCCCCTTGTGCCTAGTCTAGTCTAGTTTTTCTAGGGTGAGGTCCTCTTCGGTTTCAACGTCCTGCGGGAGGTCATGATAGATCTCCATCAGAGTTTCTACCTTAAACGTTAATAGTCTTAGTTGACCTTCCTGTTGCATGGTGAGTGCTGTTTTTGAAGCTGCAGGCGTTGACTTTCGTTGAGCGGGCTCCTTTGATCCTGACGATCCACTTGGACTGATGATTTCCTCATGAGTGGTGATTGGCTGCGTTGTAACTGTCTCATTTCTTGTTGACAGTTTCTCCTCTTGTGAGACTTGCTCGCTTTCCTCAATGTTGCTCTCTAGTTGTTGAGTTCCTTCTGTGGGGTTCGTTGACCTTAGTGTCCTCTTCCATGGTGATTATCGGTGCTAGATTGACGGTTTGGGTGAATTATCGGCTGTTGAATTGGGTGAGTTACCGACCGCTGAGTTGGGTGAGTTACCGACCGCCGAGTTAGGTGAGTTACCGACCGCCGAGTTAGGTGAGTCGCCTGTTGCGTGGCGCACGTGGCCAAGCGTTGGTGGGCTTCGGCGTCACTCGTCACTCCCGAACCTTCCCGATTTCCGACACTGTAACTCTCACTTTGTCCTTTGTTAACCCGACACCCTTGCGGGTGTAAACACGTCGAATGTTCTAGAAGTTTCTGTTGACGTGCCCGTGTGAACCCCGAATGTTTTTCGACACGAGGCGTCCCTTAAATTTTTCCACTATCACACGTTTTCACCCACAATCCGGCTCGAAGGACCACTGTTTGGTGAGGAACTAGTTTAGGGTGGATGTGGGATGAAAATGTGGAGGGAGATGTTGGGAAAATTATTTAGGCGTTTTAGAAAATTATCACTATATTTGGCGTGGGATCGAACCACTTATCACAATTTCGGTACACTCTTTGGTTTCAATTATTGTTGAATGTCTAATTTTCACTGATATTGTCCTTTTGCACCTTATCTCGTTGAGTCACTGAAATTTCTGAACTTAATCAATAAGTTGATGTACTGAACAAAATTATTAAATTTATAATACTGTTTAACTGAACACACTAGCTCATTATCGTAACGATACTTCCACACTACTACTGACTGACTCTTCCGGGTGCCGCGTTGACCTGTGTCCGTTGACCCGAAAGTTCACGGAGATTTTCGGAGATGGCCGAGTTGGTCGACCGTAACCATTTTGGAGATTTAGGCTGTATTTCGAACAAGGTGATTATGAAAATTTCGCTATCTCCCTCAGATTCGAAAATATTCCTCAAAAATTCAACTGGGAGACGAGTTGACTTAAACCGTTTTACCACTTCGCTACTGAATTATATTTCGAACGGTAGATTCACATTCTATATTATCCCCGGGCTATCAACTGACTCAATCTTAGATATTTTTTAACTAGAAATTACATGGAAAGCAGAATGTTATATGCTATCCATCAGCTTTCCGGACCTCTGCATTAGGGGAACGATCGATAGTATATTGTGTCTATAGTGCGCAAAGATACTTTTTTGCACGCACGTGTAATACATCTTATTTTTTGTGATACCTGCCGAGTTCACTGTTCAGAACGGTAGTGGGGATAATGTGGTTGTTTTTTGGGTACGAGCTCGTGAAGTTCACAAGCGTGCATAAAGTGAATGTTACGCACGCCGTGCGGAAAACAACCGCTTACGCATACTATACCGTTTCGAAAAGTGCACTTTTCAAGCAGGTATAACAAAAATAATTAACAATGCACAAATTAAAAATTTCGGAGATATACGGATTTGAACTCATATGGGGTGTGATGCCACATTTCCAGTTTGCCGGATTAGTGCTCTAACCAATTGAACTCAGGCAATTATTGTTCTGAATTCTTAATCTAATTGAAATTCAATTGAATTTAATGTTAAAGGAAAATTTTCATTTCTTGCACTAAAATCATCAACTGTTTAAAAAGACTAGTGGGTGATAGATCAAACTTTACTTAGAAATTCGTATCAGTCACCGAATATTTATAGCTTTTATAAGATGAAAAAATAAGACGGGGCATTATGAATTTCGGGGGAAATTCTACCTGTTGAATTTTACTCGTAGTAATTACGCCTTCACGGTAAATAGAAATGTTCACTTTATCGTGAAGTATTTATATTTGAGTTATGAAAACTCGATCGAATTCTTACATGGCCTGAATTACTATGCGGAATTGTTGTCCCGAGCGATTTATAAAAAGATGAGATATTTGGTGCAAGAAATTAGTTTTGCGAAATTCTGCCGGTATTTCTCTTAGTGTAAGATCATAGTCTTCAGGACAGAATATTCATTTCAAACGAATAAGAAAATGTACGAATGAGACTAAATCTAGAACCAATACAAGCCATTGAAAATAATTTACTTCTCAAGTAAATATGGGCTACGTATACTGGAAAATTTTTCTCCCAGTATTTATATTCTCCCCGGAGAATATTGTTTCTCGTTAACTCCAATGATTTATTTGCAGATTATATGACGTCGGGACACCTTCAGTGCTCTACGAACATCTCCAAAAATTCCCAGAAGGATTAGCAACTCCAATTAACTTCGAGGAAGTGATAGAAAGTTACGCGAATAAGCCTGGTTATCCCCTCATAACCCTTACCAGGGATTATTCCTCAAATTCCTTGACTATCAGTCAGCAACGGTTCTATCAAAATCCTGATTACGCGTATAAGAAACCGTCAACCTGGTGGGTGCCACTTAGTCTAAGGACTCAACATGAATCTCAACCTGATGCATCGCGTTTTGGCGCAATTTGGTTGAAGAATAACGAGCCGAAAGTCACAATAAATACCGGTGGCATTGGAACGAGAGAATGGATCATATGTGACAGTGATAAAGCCGGCTATTACCGTGTGAATTACGACGAGCGGAATTGGAACATGTTAACAGCGCAACTGATGTCCGGAGGGTTCGATAGGATTAGTTCAGTAGCCCGAGCAGCTCTCCTAGATGATGCTTTCAATTTGGCTCGTAGTGGCTACATCAATTACAGTGTACCATTTCATCTTGCTCGGTATCTCATTGACGAAACCGAATACGAACCCTGGTTATCCGCTACGAGTTCTCTCGTTTTCCTGAATAAAAATCTTCAAGATCTACCCGTCGTTCGAGACTCTCTACAGGTGCAGTAATCAAAGTTTCTCGAATTCCATTTCTCCTGAATTTGTGCCAACGCTTGGTAGTTTTCAATGAAAGTTTCGAAGATGTTTCCTAAAGATGAATGTTTGCTTCAACTTTTAGGATTATGTTAGACGTCTACTGGCGCCGATTTACCAATCTTTAACCTTGACTGCATCAAACCGAAATTCGCTTCGAGAGAAACTTTTCCGACAGTTGATACAATCCACTGCATGCACAATGAGGAACGAGGATTGTTTAAATACCGCGAATTTGCTATTTACGAAGTGGATTGCGAATTCCTCAGAAAGGTGCATTGCGAATACCTCTTTGTTCCTTTTATTCGACTATTGTGATGTTCTTTTCAGGGTTGATGCGGAGATGAAAAGTTCTGTATACTGCGTTGGAATTCGAACTAGTGGCGAATGGGATGTAGTTTTCAGGAGATTCTTAAGAGAAGATCTCCATACTGAGAAGGAGGTATTGATCAGTGGCCTCGGTTGTACGAACAATTCTGCGTCGATCACAAAGTACGTACACAGAGAAAAATATTTCTAATATCAGCAGATTCACGCCAATTCATGAGGACAAAAAAGTCGATGCTGGGGATGTTCTGGTATAGCATCCCAAAATATAGAATCACAAATTTGAGTGGAATGATGGTCGCTCGCTTCGTTCGCTCCCATTGCGGATGGGTTGAAGTGGGTGTGACCCATTACGGGTGAAACCAATAACTTTTTGACCAATTCACATTTTTCTGGTTATTATAAAGAAGAGACGCAAATTTTTAAATTTCCATCCGGATAACATGAAAACGGCTGAGACGATTTTGCTCAGAAACCTATCATTAGTCTCGGTAAAATTGTTGAATTTTCAAAGAAAACTCTTTTTTTTCGATTTTTGGCACACGTTTTATGAGAATAACTAACGAACCGCTGAGGTGATCGTCTTTATAGACTCATCAGTTCCACACCGATAAGAAGGATTAGTTATTGTTAACGAATGGATTTGGTTGGAGACGAGGGTCTACTCGGTCTCACCAAATGTTCATTCGTTGATAGTTAACAAATGCACATTTGAGGAGCCTGGTTTGACTCGATTTTCACTTTTCAAGTGAACCATTCGTTAATTATTAACGAATATTTATTTGGTCATATTCAACTCTACCATTCGTTGATAGTTAATGAATCTCGTTTGGAATAAATGAATCAGTCTATGAGTGTAAGTCACATTAACACGCATGGATTGAAAAAAAAATTCAATCGGTTTATTTGTTCAGAAGCTATCGTTGAAAATTTTGGTCACACGTACATACGTACACACACACATACACACATCCAGACAAGTCGTCAAAAAAGCATCAGGGTGATTCTAGAGGCCATGAAATATGGAGAAATCATGGAAATTCTACATTCTCCCTTCGGATCGGGAAGTTAAAAAACGGCTGCTGACTACGAAGTCAGTGATTGCTCGAAATTAAGTAAAGAAAATACGTGAATTCAACTTGAATTATCCTGTGAACACTAGAAACCGTTTGTATCGTAGGTAATAGGTGTACCGTGGAGAATACACATTATAATTAATGGTATGAAGCATAAAACACCGAAATTTCGAGTAAAAATCTTGAAATTTTTAATAACATTTATACTATATGAAATCTCTATCTATGTCGTCATGAAAAAATTAATTCATTTCTGAAATATCCAATTAAGGTTCATTTGATTATTGAGGTTCAATTCATGAAGAATAATCTCATCCAGAAATAGTGTGGTCTCCGTGCGAACGATCAGCGTCTTAAAGCAGATGTTTTATTGTTCAAACAGAGCCACAATATCTACATTTTTATGCTGCGTCTTCATAACATCTTGAGCAAAATATAAACAAATTATAACGGAAAGTACAGTGACAGTAGTGGTTACACGGTCAGCCTGGGGTTCTGGCGGTCGTCCAAGATAAGCAGCATTTAGTCTGGTTCATACTTGCATGGGTGACTGCTTAGCCCTACCGACTGTCGGACTGAGGAGATTGTAGCCCTGAGTGTCAGAGGTGAGAGACAACGATTGTAGTGGGGATTGGGAAAAGTGGGGGTAAATTTGAGGACTACAATCTCCTCAGTTCAACCATTCTCGGGTGGAACTGTTGCCGTAGCAGGCGCGAGTTTGCAGAACTACGGTGCCCATTCGGTCAGTATGACGGATGGGTACAGTAGGGCCCTGCAATCGGTCGGCTGTGCGACTGGGGTTTTCCATGGTTTCCGTTGCAGTCCTAGCTCAAATGAGGTGCAGTTGATAAGAGTTAGATGGCCCATGGTAACGCAGATAAATCAGAAGAGAGAAGTGGGAGAGGCAAGGCGAATGGGGAGCCTATGAAACCGTAATGGTACACGGAGAGAAATGTTCAGTAAAAATTACTGAATTCACAATTCACTCACTGATTACGGCATCGACTCAAAAAATTTAAGTGAAAGTATCGTAATTTTTCGCAGGAGATTTAAATAAAAATTACGGAAAGCTCCGAAAAAATTCCGTGACAGTTCCGTAAAATTTTCTACAACCACATTTCGCTCCGGAGTTACGGAAACATACAAAGACGTAATTTTTATTGAATATCTCTCTTCGTGTAGTAGAAAAGAAATATGAATAAAAAATATTACGGAAATTATCCACATCAGATTAGATTTCTTGGTTCGATAATCTACGTCAACCGAGAATGGTAGATTATCTGCAGAATTCGGATTTTCGAAGTGATAAGACCTTTTATTTTTTTTATCTCATTCATTTTTGGGAATTTTGTGTGTTAAAAAAATGGGATACCTGTCTTGATAATTATCAAAAAAGCATTCTGATGATTCAAGCAATTTCTACTTATTGAAATAATTCTCCCTCTCAATGGACGAGGAATTTATGTTTTTTATTTTAAGTACCCAAGTGGTAACTCAAATCAGGCTAGAATAAGAGACTGATCAGTCAGAACTAATTTTCATCAGTTTTGGATGAGAAATGTAACGCTTGTTTAGATCTTTGTGTCGGGATTTAATTGATTAGAATAAGATTGAAAGATCATGATCTGAAAGTCTAATCAAGAAATTCTGACCATAGGATCTATATCTAATCTAGGTTTGGGCAAGCTATACTAAATTTCCACTCGGATAGTTTCTAAAAAAAGAATATGTATTTTGTTCTAGATATTTAGATTTCATGATGAGCGATGCTCCCCAATTACCTAAGCAGTACCGTTTGAAAATACTTGATGCTGTTTTGAATGGGAACCCTGAGAATGTGGAGCAAACACTGCTATATTTATCGAAAAATCTCCAGAAAATCATCGCCGTGTGAGTAGTACACATTTTTTAAATTTAATCCCAATGTAAGAATTTCATCTTCACTTTTCTGTCAGAAGAGGATTTCCTTTCCTGAATAAGATGATCACTGCCATCGCAGGACGAATCACCTCATCGGCAAACCTACAAATGGTATGCACCAAATATTTGTATAAATATCATTTTTCCTTATCAGCTAACGCTAAATAAATTAACCATTTCAGTTCTTATCGATCGTCGATAACAACGCGAGTCTTTTGAAGCCGTCTGAAGATAAAGTGAAGAAAGCAACTGCGGACGTTCAAGCAAACCTCTCTTGGATTCGAAAATATTCAACCATTATTGAAAAGAATATCAGAGAAATTATGTAAAATTATCTGCAGTATTTAAATATAATTGATAATCTATTAAATTGTCTAAACGTTCTATTACCGTCATCCCGTTAACTTCCTATTCAGTATTTTCGGGCTGTTCAGCTGATGTTGAATGTTAGCTTCAATAGATGGTAGTACAAGGAGAAACTTTACTTTGAAAAAATATCATGAAAATAACGCCAAATTTTTTTGGGAGATAATGGTAAACCGCAATCGCGGGGCATGTTGCTGATTTTAAAAACTGTTACTTGCTGCGCCACATGCAGTCAAAAATTTCAGGAGAAATGACGTGGCCAAACATAAAAGCGAAACGTATAAAAGTGATAAATTTTTGCTTTTGAGTTTTGGAAATTTTATGGTTTGAAACATAATTTTACGTGATTTCCGGTGTACTTTTTTCCGAGTCTTTTCTCCGTGCAATTTTCTGGGAGTGCTAGTCAAAATTCGGATTTTCTTAACCAGAAAAATTGTTGTCCGTGTCACGTGCACTCTCCCTATGCTTACACGCAGCCAAAGTTGATAGAATAGTTACGGAATGGACTAATGTAAACGTTTACCGAAAATACCTCGGAAAATTTATCCTTCTCAATGTACTTTCCCCAGGAAAACTCGCAGATATCATTCCTTCGATTAAATGAGCATTTCAATTTCATTCCCATAATGGGCGTTTTGCTACACGATTATGGGAATTGTTCCGTAACTTTTCCTGGAGTTTTTTCTTGGTGTAATCACGTTCATAATTTCTAACAGACAGGAGACGATAAGAACACATTATCCTCTCAGAGTGTTTTACCTTCCCATTGGGATATTTCAGCTATCTCATTCAGGTGTAAAATCATTCGGATATATTCATGATTTACAATTTTTTCCGTATGAATCACTCCTGAACGGGAATGATGTATGACTACAATAGGATTATTTTATCCCCTATGTAAAAATAGTAAAATACTCCCAGAAGTAGTTGATTTTTCCCTGTCGGTTTTTCTATGAACGAGACGAAAAGATACACTGTTCAAAATTTTCGGCTGAATTTTCCGTGTGAAATTCCGGAAATTTCAGGAAATCTTGACATTGAAAAATAATTCTGTAAAAATTTAGATAAATCAGGATAATTCAGGAAAAAATTGAAAATTGATGTTATTTTGTTTCTGAATATTCATGTTCCACTGAAAATCCAATCAAGTTGTGAAATTTCCACTCAGTCCAACTGAAAACTCATGAATTTCCGTGAATTTTACTTAAAACATCAAATTTCATAACCATTTTTTCTCTAAATTCGATTCAATGTCATTCTCATGAGATTTAGTATAATATCTTCCATGAAATTTCAAAAAAATTCCAACAGTACAATTTCCGCGTGAGCACACGAAAAAGGGCTTTCACCTGATCAAATACAAAATGCGTTGCATTTATCTACACGGTGCACAAGTGTCAACCATGACTCATCATATAGCGATATTGACTCCAATGACAATGCCTAATGTACATTTATAGCCACGGCATAATGGCTATTGAAGGCCACGTGGATATTACAGAAATTTGAAGATTGTAGTTATAACGAAATTACAGCAAATGAAACGATGAATAAATTTTCCGTATATTTAATCGCCTCTCTTCTTAAATTTGAGAACAAGGAATGCGATGATTCTTCATATCCTCATCTTTTTATATGAAATTTTGTGTAATGAACCAGTGTATTATTTTGATTATTTTTCTCACTCGGATTTCAACCAATCAGAGCGCAGTATTTGAGGCTGTCAAAGGGTTTTATTTCGGAAATAAACTAGTAGCTTTTCAAATGTTTCTCATCTTTTAACGCATTTCACGTTTAATATTCTGTGTGACAGATAAACAAAAAAGCGGGTTGTAAATGTATGGCTGTGTAAATGTATCCGGATGCTGTTCACTGCACTCTGCTTGGCCGAAATCCGAGTGGAAAAATAATCCGTCAAATACCACTCGTGCTTCAAAATTGATTGGATATTTTCCTCAAGTTTCCCTGCCTAGGAAAAAGTGTATCAAATTTTGCAGAAAAATCCCTTGTGCTTCTCACTCAGAATTTTAAACCTGCAAAATTTTACACAATCATTCCTAGACAATGAAGCTATCGGAAAATATCCGATAATTTTGAAGCAGTAGTGGTATTATTACTGAATATTTTCGGCCTCTCCATTAAGATTCCGGGGAACAGAATCTCAGCATCACATATACAAGTGAATAATTAAAAAAAAAACACAAGTATAATCCTCACAATCTGCAAATACAAGTGAAATATTCAGAAAAAATCATTGAATTGTAGAGGATAAACGTAAAGAGGAGTCTCACTGCAATCATTTTAACAAACAGTTCGTTCCTCAGTTGATACGTTAAAGATATTTGAGTACCATACAGTACAATTGAGGCAAAGATGTTATTTCGAACGGAATATCGACGTAATTCAGGGAATAGTTAACTTGCATGTAGAGTTGAAACGCAGGTTTTTTTTAGCAGCAATGTAGAGTTTTTATTCCCTGACATGCACGGAGAGAAATATTCAATAAAAATTACGTATCTTTTCCGTAATTCCGGAGCGAAATTGTGGTTGTAGGAAATTTTACGGAACTGTCACGGAATTTTTGCAGAGTCACTTGAATTTTCTGAGTCGATTTCGTAATCGGTGAGCGAATTGTGAGTTCCGTAATTTTTACTGAAGATTTCTCTCCGTGTGACCAACTGTTTTCAAAGCGCACACGGGTAGAATCAAATAGTAAAAATTACCATGGCCATAGAAGGGAATACCATACTATACCACATAGTAAAAGGGTCTTCAACTGACTCTACATAGTAATGCTTACTACATCATTGCGTAAACACTACAGCGATTCATGAGAGAGATTACCATGTTCCATGGTAATGCTTGCCATTTTCCACAGTAATAGTTACCTATTCTATGGTAATGCTCACCATGTTCCATTGATATTTTTTGTTCCAACAAACAATAGCGCTTTCAGCACTCTCACCGATAATAAAAGTAACAAATTTCCGTAAAAATCTCGGAATTTCAGCAATTTGTCCTACCAATATCGAGTGATCATGAATACCATAAAAAAAATCATTTAATTGAGAGATACGGAGACAAAGAAGACGCTTATGACTGGCCATAGCCCGAGTGCCTTCAGCCTATTTACATATGATATACAATATTTTAATTATAGAATATGGAAAGAAAATAAAAGAAAAAAGAAAACAAAAGAATAGCTAAATATTATAAATATTTAGATAGCTAATAGTATTGTATGGTTGAATAGGAAGGATAAGTTGTTTTGCATTATCACAGATGAGATGAGTGTGAAACAGTTGAGAAATACTTTCATTATTTTAAATGCATTTATTAGACGTAGATCCTGAATTAGACTGAAATGAACAATTCATTTGATTCCAATAAATGGATTATTAATAAAGTCTTCCTCTTCGCCATCTAAATAATTATCTCAGTTCTAACCAATGCAGTCCTTATTAGTTAGAAATTATTCTTTACTTCTCTTTCATTATGATATTTTACGATTTATGATATTAGGACACCTTAACACAGGAAGCTCTACTATATAACATAATATCTATTCATATGTCCATAGGACCTATTACCCTTGACGTGCTTACCATGCCCCTCAGCAACCATTACGATGTTCCATGGTAGCCCATTCCTATAATAATTACCAACCCTTATTATATGCAGATTCCGGCAAAGGAATTTTTGATATTTTTTCCACCGTGCATCATTTCCTGAATTATGATATTGGAGTACTTTGACAGTCTTCTCTTTGTTAGAAATCTTTTCCACATTTCTTGATGAAAATCAAAGCAGAATCTTATTTTATGAATAGGAAGGACTGAAGTGAATAAAATGAATTATGAACTGAACTTGAGAAGAATAAAAACTCAGTATTTAGGTCTATATTACTGTTAGAAAATTCCATTTGAAATTTCAAGTGAAAAAACTTGAAATATTTAACAAATTTGACAAAACAGTTAATTTCTTGAATATTCAAGTAATTCTGGATTTTCAGATCCATACGGCACTGAAAAACTTTGATAATGTTGAAAATTCAGGCAATAACTTCTCTGAATTTTCAATCTATTGAAAATTCAATCATGTTTGATGTTCAATTTCCACGATGAATTTGAAAATTCAAGCTTTCATTGAAAAATCAATGGTTTTTTAATTTGAAAAATCAAATTTTCTTGAATTTTCAAGATGAATGAGAAATTTAGTGAACGTTTTCAATTGAAATTGAATTCAAACTCACAACATTGGAAATTCAGACGACATTGGGACTGAAATTTCAAGAAATTATCAACAGTGTATGATGTTTTCTATTGTACTTCATTAACCGAACTTGCTCCATCAGACAGCTATATCTAAGATAAAAGATAAAAATACCTGAACCAGAACGTGATCATGATAAGCGACATAATTCCTTCCTCAAGTACATTTTCCCGGATTTAATCACTAAAGAACTTATCAGCAGCATCAGATATATTTTTTAATTAAAGAGATTGGTAATACATCTGAATTTTTCGTGATGAATATTATAGAAATTGATGATGTTGATAATCAGTACTTACAATCGAATGGTAATCACATGAAAATTGTTAGGTCGTAGACCTTCGCTTCATGGGACTTCATGAAAAATCAGTTCATTGGATCTGTTGATTTAATTCTTTCGAGTTGAAATATTCGGAAAAGCGCAATGAAGTGATAAATTGAATGATGGATGCTTTCTTTTGTATGCCTTATTAATGTTCGCTGTGAAGAAAAATGATAGCGTCAGGTGAATCAACAAAAATCCTTCCATGGAATTTCATTGTATTTATCATGTAGCGATATCAGCACAGTTGATATGGTTGGTCGCAAGATTAATATCAAAATTCAAAGTCGAATTCTGCTCGAAAATTCCCAGAACATAACTAATGTAGGAGGCCATAAATTCATGACCCTGATATAATGCGATGAACAATGTTCTATCCTCAGGGATTAAAATACAATTAGTCAGAAATGACACATTCGAAAAAAAAGTAAATCAAGACTACTTATTGAACTGAGATTTCAAGTAAATGAATGAGTCCATAATTCTCAATTCAATCTTTTTTTTTCATAATTGAAAAAAGTGAAAAATACGTAATTGTTACGGAAATGATGAATTCTTTAGCACTGCGTATAATCGTATATTTCACACCCCGGAGGCAAAAAAAATCAAAGGCATATCAAACACGATGATTATGAAAACTTTGAAAAGAATACATTGTTTGATAGAATAACCCAGATAACAATGATCTTCCGGCGTAGAGAATACCCGTCACCATACAGACAGTGATAAGATTATCTCCCAACTCCAATTTTATTGATATGAACGCCTCCAAAATCCATATAAAACCCAAGTGATTCTATGATAGGTTTGCTCAATCTACGATCGTCAAGGTGGTCGTAATACGTGCGTTAGTAATAAGTTGATAAGTAATTTTTGGATTGTGCATTGGAACGTAAGTAGTGAATACATTTTCAAGTATCTGTGAGTGTTCCGAGACATTTTGCGTTATTAATTCAACTACTACAAAAATTTAGGTGCGACAAAATGGCCCATCTTCCGTCGCTCCTCGTAGCGATCACTTTCGTAGTCTGCGCCGGAGCCATCCCTTTACCTGAAGATGAATTTTCAATCGATATCGCCGTACCAGAGACTCGGAGTGATCCAAAGGTTTATCGACTTCCCGAAGATGTTGTACCTGAATCCTACAATATAAGAATCACACCCGATCTCGAAAGTGACGAGTTCACTTTCACTGGTGTATCGGAAATAAATATCATTGTGAAGAAAAATATTTCAAAAATCACCTTGCATGCAAATAGTTTGAATATCACGATGGTAGCACTTCGTACACCGCAGAATGTAACGCTTCCGGCTGTACAATTACCTCTCAATGTGGCGAATGATTTCCTAATCATTAATTCGAAGACACAATTAACCGCTAACTCCAGATATGTGTTGGAGTTGGAATATGAAGGCAAATTGAATGATGACATGAGAGGCTTCTATCGTAGTTCATATGTAGATGATTATGGCAAAAAAAGGTAATAAATTTCTGGAGATTTTCCGAAGATAATGGTCGTCTCAATATCTAAATACTTATGTATTGCAGATGGTTAGCAACAACGCAATTTGAACCTACCTACGCTCGCCGGGCGTTTCCCTGTTGGGATGAGCCACATTGGAAAGCAACGTTCGATATTTCGATCAAGCACCCTGACAGACTCCGGGCCATTTCCAATATGCATAAAATTTCCACTCAACCTGATACTGCTGACTTATCAAAGAGCATCACGACTTTTGCCTCCACGAAAAAAATGTCTACCTACTTAATTGCTTTCGTGGTCTCAGATTTTAATTTTCTGTCGAATAAAGATGGAAGTTTCAAAATATGGGCAAGACCCAATGCTATTCGGCACGGAGAATTTGCATTAGATGTTGGTGAGAAAGAGTTGAAAGCTCTGGAAAATTACACCACCATTCCATTTCTGTCTCATGGCTTCAGTAAAATGGACTCGATTGCCATTCCTCAATTTGAAGCTGGCGCTATGGAAAACTGGGGTCTTGTTACTTACAGGTAATGTGTGAGATGTAGCAAAAAAATATCATTAAAATGCGATAGTTTTGTAAGACGCGATAGTTATGTTGTAGGGAGTCGGCGCTCCTCGTTGAAGAAAATGTAACAACATCTGCCAGTAAAGAAGGGGTTGCAACTGTCATAACCCACGAATTTGCTCATCAGTGGTTTGGGGATTTAGTCAGTCCAAAATGGTGGCAATACACCTGGTTGAATGAAGGTTTTGCGACTTATTTCCAATATGTCATCACAGACTTGGTAAGGGGTTTGATTGAATTGGCAAAAATGTTTCCAGCCTCACATTCTTATTTTTTGAAATTTTTGTCTAGATTCTACCCAAGTGGAGGTTGAAGGATCTTCAGGTTGTCAAAGCTCTCCAAAGTACTGCCTTTCCAGGTGACAGCGTCAGTACAGCGGTAGATATGAATTATGATGTTAATAGCCCGGCTGAGATTAAGGCCAAATTCAACACTATTTCTTATCAAAAAGGTTGGTAAAGCTTGTTCAATAGCATAAAAATCATGAAAATCCTTATTTTCATATTTTGGTTGTTCTATGTTTGATCACTTCAGCCGGTTCAGTCATCCGAATGATAAACCACGTTGTTGGCGAAAAAAATTTTAAGGCTGCTCTGCAGGCCTATCTGAAGGCCAAGTAAGTTTTTAATATTGAGAGACCTTATTGAAACAGTTTAATTTCAATTTAAATGAATTTTAACGGAAGGATCAATTGATAGGGAGTTCAACGTAGCAACATCTGATGACCTTTTCAACGAATTTAAAAAAGTCGCTACGAGTTTTAAAGGAACATCAACGGATCCCTTACTTATTTTGAATAATTGGGCAATCACTCCAGGTTTCCCACTGATCAATGTTACCAGAAATTATGAGAAAGGTACAGTGAATATCACTCAAGAACGTTACCTTTATAAACCAGATGCTAATCACACGGAACGTTACTACGTACCTCTCAACTACGCGATGAAGAAGGAAGACTTCGATGACACGAGCGTCACAACCTGGTTAGAGAAAGATAAATCAATTGTAAATTTCGACGTGAAAGCTTTGAAAGACAAATGGATCATCTTTAACAAACAACACTTTGGTAAATTGAGAAATTAATTACAGAACCTAGATTTACCGCTCAAAAAGATGTTCATTTACTATTTCGAAATTCCAAATAGGATACTATCGTGTCAACTACGATGAGCAGAATTGGCAACTGATTACTGAGTTCTTGAAGACCAAGAATTACACGGATATCCATGTACTCAATCGAGGACAGCTAGTTGATGATGCGCTTAATCTCGCGAGGAATGGAAAACTGAAATGGAGCGTAGCGTTTGACTTGATGGCTTTCCTTAAACAGGACTTTGATTACGTTCCATGGTTTTCTGCATTGACTGGCGTAAATTACCTGCAGAGAACACTAGCCAACACTGCTCCTTATGGTAGTTTCAAGGTATCTGGGAATTTACTCCATCAATTTGTGATCAGTCACATTCCTATGGGTAATAACCCTCTGACGAGAAAGTCCAACCAATCCCTGTCGGTGTGAGCGGTAGTGGGGGTACGGGCAACCGTACTATGGCGCTGTTTGTGTTATTGAGCTTTCTCGTTAGAGGGTTAATAACATCTCGAAATAATAAGATATTAAGAATATCTAAAAAAACTGAAAAGTTGTCGAATCGCGATGAGAGTCACTTCGCTCATTATATTAATCTCTGGGATTTTTGAAATTTCCAATTAACTAACATGTTGAGGATTCTCGATGCAAATGTCTTCAGTTTATTAAGACTTTCGTAATTTTTGATGTTTAGAAGATGGCCTAAGCGATCCTCAACAATTTTAGTGTCGTTGAAATTATCCTAACGTTTTGACTCCTAGGGAAGTCTTCGTCAGGGGATTTCTTCATGCTTTGATCTACTGTCATTTCTATTACAATCGAAGTCAATCGTTGAAATTATTACTATCGAAGTCGAGATTGACTTCGATCTCATTGATGATCTCATTGATGATTCAATCGTCAAAGTTGAAGTCGAGATTGACTTCGATTGTAATCCCGTTCGGCCAACATCCGTACTTTTAACGATCAAAGTATAAAGAAATCCCCTGATGAGGGCTTCCCTGGGAGTCGAAACATTGGGATAATTTAGACTTTGATTCTCCGTGCAATCTCAACTACCCTATAATTGCTGAGGACCGCTGAGGCCATCTTATGAACATCAACAATCATGAAATATATGAACGGTAAACAAAATTTTTAAATACAATTACTAACACTTTGTCCTACAATTGTTGAGAGCCTAAGAAAACCAAAATATCAAGCGCAACTCGGTGTTTGGAAAATAAATCAGTATTATTTGAACAGTTTCAATATTCGATCTCACCGGGTACCCGTAAATTCATTATTTTAGGCCCACCTTTTGGAATTACTAGAACCCGTAGTAAAGAATATCACATTCTACGAATCGCCTGAAGACCTTCACCTGACCAAGCTTTTAAGAGTCGAAGTCCTGCATTGGGCATGCAAGCTGGGATCTAAACCTTGCAGAGATCAGGCAGCGTTGAATGTCACAAACTGGCTCAATGACTCCAAGAAAAATTCGTAAACCCTGAATTTTATCGTTATTATTGAAGAATCTCCATTTGAATATGTAAAGACATAAAATTATTGTATTTTACAGACTTGAACCTAATCTAAAGGGTGTTGTTCTATGTGCGGGTATTCGAAACACCGATCAAGCAACTTGGGACAAACTTTTCGCGAAATACTTAGCTGGTGAGGAGAATGCTCTCCTTACCGCACTTGGATGTTCCTCTAATACCAACATCTTAAAAGGATACTTGACCAAAGCAATGAACACATCTGTCAGTACCACGAATCGCGATGGAATTTTCTCTACTGTCACCTTTAGCAGCGACGAAGGTGTTGATGTAGCACTCGATTTCATTCTGGCTAATGCGGATCAAATTTACCAATTGTAAGGAAACAATCATTAATCTACGTTGATGAATCGGAACATGTAAGAAAATAATTCCCATCGTTCCTTTTTTACTAGATCTGGAAATACTACCGAAAAACTTAAAACATACATCACTAATATTGGATCCAAAATCAATAGGAAAGCCCAACTTGACAAGGTAAGCTAACCAAGTCACAATTGATGGAGAATCAAGATTTCGCAATTAATGACCAACCTTGATCTGTTCATTCCAGTTGAAGGAGGCTAAGAATCCCCATGTGAAAAGTATTTTCGCTGACGGTATTAGCAAAGCTCAGGAGACTCTTGAATGGCTCCTCATACACGAATCACAAATCTCAGAACATTACAAAAAGGAAGAAGTATCCCCGGCGAAGCCAGATTCAGCTGTAACGGTCACCCTATCCTCTCTCCTATTCATAATGTCATTTGTAGTCTCTCAATTATACTAGAGAATTAAGTTATCATCTTTTATGTGTTAAGATAGGAACATAATGACGGGAGTAAATAAAGTATCAACTGTCCAATTAATATATCATGAATTATTATAAATTTTTCATATGAGTGCATTGTATTATTGAAAAGTTTCCTGCTCCCGCTAATTCTTGTGCATTCCTTGTTTCCCCAAGGGCAACACATAGAATAGGAGTCAATGTGTTGATAGCAGCATGTGCCTGCAATGTCATAAAGGTTCCAAAAATCCATTTACTTCACAGAATACTTAGATGTGAGTCAACTTCTGATGTAATGAGTAGTGTATTGGGCTATAGGATTTGGTGAGATGAATGTGCCAAACCGATTTCATCAGTAATTGCGCCTCTGAAATGTTTTCAGAAGACAAAAGATTTCACCGAAGCTTTGGTCAGCCTGAAATTGTAATTAGATTAGATAATCTATGATCGTGATAAGTTATCGGAGTGTCTCAAATTACGTCTCTTGATATCAGTGGGAAATTATTGCAATGTCTAGCGTGATCGATTTAAAGACAATTTATTCAATGAATTGATATGCTAGGAATAGTATCCTTTTATCCTTTTACAAATAGTATATTTGTAAAAGTATAGTATATAATAGTATAGTATATAAAAGTATAATATAATAGTATATAAAAGTATAGTATAAAGTACAGTATATCCTTTTACAAAGAGTATCGTTTTACAAATAGGAGTATCTTTTCACTTTTAATGCAAGGATGTCGGAGTATCCTTTCGCAAAAGGCCCATTTGGACGTAAAAAATGACACTGAGGAGAAAGTTGAGAGACATCCTGATGCTTGAAATTAGAATTGAGGCTCAAAATACTTCACTTCGAACTACTATATGAGAGAAATCAAAAATTTGGAATCAACACGGAAACTTTTGGTATAAATTTGTCGATTTTTGGCATAGAGCACAATTAAAATTTGGATGGTGGTAGTAGAAAAGTTTTGGGTCAGGCTCTTTTCTGAAGAATTCCGAAGGAAGTTATTGAAGATTCTTTTCTCAAGAAAATGATTCCTTAACAAAAGTATTTTCTCAGCGTACGCATACGTAAAAGACGCTTTATTTGGGAGTAATTTACGTGTTTATTTAGATACCCTACAATACGTCTTTCTGAAGTTTGAATTCTGATTTTCATGACGGAAAAAAGCAACCAGAGATTATATTGTCGTTAAGCGTAAATTACGTTTAGCAAAAGGTAAATTACGCTTGGCAACACGTATTTTACGTTTCGGTTTTTCTGTGTGTATTATTAGAGAAGAGAATAATCTAATAAAATCGGAGTTTAATCCACGCATATTGCTAATTCGTTAGTAATAATGGCTGCGCTGAGGTATAAACAATACAACTGTCTTTTCATTGTTAAAGTCGACGAAATTAGTTGAGGTATCGACTAATGATAGAGAAAATTCATTGAAAAATAATAGTCACCGGTATCAGAGTTTCTTCCAACATTTTGTTTCGGGGCTAGAACATCACACTCGTTTTGCGTCACTTATATAATATTTTTTATGATTTCCTGCGCACGAGGCAAAATAATATTACTTGCACGTTCCGAAGGTCCTTGTTGGGATCATAAACGGGTGGAATTTTTTTAGGAATAAAGAAAAAAAATAAGAAGATAAGGAAAATAACTGGCTGGAGACGAATAATATTTTACATATTCTTTCTGAAACTGAATGCAATTTATCGAGATGCAAATGAGATTGCATTTTCCTGGGCATAAGAAATTGTAAGAAATTATCTGACATCGTTTTATTCTCGTTAGATATTAATAAGATATTAATCTTGGATTGGTTGTCGCATTACACTAATTTTCAAAAATTTTCTAATATTTTCAAATTATTTCTCTTGTACAAATATTCAAAAAAATATTTTTTTAAGGGTTCGCATGTCACAACTTTCCTTGAACTTTGGACTCTACTAAATAAATACTGAACAATTTAATCCGCAGATTCATGTGCAACTCTCAAAAAATGTAAAATGTCTCTATTCTTGTGATTAAAAAATTATGAATATTATTCTGATTGTAACTTTGCAACTAACCGAGATGGTGATAGAATTCTTACAAGAACAGTAAAAAATTCTGAGTGGATTTCGATTCTGGGTCCACACCAAAAGGAGTGAAAACAAGTCCCCACAGTTTTTTTATGTAGATCACGGAGTATATTAATTTCGGAGTTAAGTCATGAATGGAGTGAAAATTGATATTGCCATGATATCAACATGAACATGGTGATTAACACAGTTTGGTGTGAAGAATAAAAATTCAGTTCACACCAAAATCTGACTCAGGGCTGAAGGTGAATTGACTCTCAAAAAGGATTAATTTTAACACAGAAATATTCAACTCCTCAAATTGCTCTATTAGAAATTTATTTAATTTATAGTTAAGATTGCAATTGAACTCTCAATTTTGTAGTGTTCAATTCAAGGCCACATTATTCATGAAAATTTCCATACATCTTGAAAATTTTTCTTTATAGGTCGAGGAAGCCTGAATTTTAGACCTCATTATGAAAATCGAATATTAAATTCAATTAAATTTTTAATAAATTGAAAATTCTGTAACATATTGACCTGAATTTTGATTACTTTCTCTACTTTTCGGGAAATTATAATTTCATTGATTATTCAAAGAAGTTACTTGATTTTTCAGTAATAAAATAGAGATAAATTTCCTATAAATTTAGTGTTGTTACCTAGATGTAAAACTGTAACAGTAGCATAGGGGAAATAAAGTATTCTGTTCTATTTAGTGTTGTTAAAAATTTCAAGTTTTTTAAATTGAAATTTTAAGAGTGATTTTTTAACAGTGGGGAGACATAAACGCCGATTTATTTTTTGCTGTGTGCATGCCGACGCTATTAGCAGTTCAGCCCAGAACCGCTGTCATTGGTTAATTTCAACTCAGTTCAATTCGTTATAAAGAACTCTTTTCGACTCAGAACTTCACTATTGTTCCCTCAAACAGAGAATGAGACGGGTGTTTTGAGACACTCTGTGAGTTGAACGTTTTATAAAGTGGTTGTTGGAATATATTATTGAAAAATGTAACGGAACGGAGTGAATGCAATTCATTATCTTTGTTTTCGTCCTTAGATACATAGTAAAAAAATTCAGTGTTAATCAAAATTAGTGGGAATTGTTGACGGTGTAGTAGGATAAGAGAAGTGTTATTTGGCCTTGCGATCTCTTGAAAATAACGAACTCACAATTTGTAAAGATTTATTCAGGGCTAATGTCTCTCGTGTGAGGGGTTCAATCGTTCGGTTTTAAAATCAACTCTTTTTGGGAGTTCAAATGACCCTCAGCCCTAAGTCCATCTTTGTAAGGAATGGATTTTTATTTTTCACACCAAACTGTGTTGATTATCATGCTCGTGTTGACAGTATGATGGTGTCAATTTTCACTCCATTCTTTTTTTGAACTCTGAAATTAATATACTCCGTGCATCTGCACCAGAAAACGGTAGGGACCAATCATTGTTTTCACTCCTTTTGGTGTGGACTCAGAGTTGAAATTCATTCAGCATTTTTTACTGTGTGTAAAAGTAAAAACGTATTTCCGGATTTGAGAACCACCGAGTACTGAAAACCAGAGACAGAAAGTACTGGATTCCAGTGAAACTCCTCTGAGAATCGGAGAAAAGGTTCTAGATCTCGATAATTTTTACTGAAATCCAGTAGTTCAGGGTCTTACAATGAAAACCGTTTCTGAATCGAATATTTTGACCCGAAAAGTTTGGGAGATCCTTACCTCCGAAAGCAACATCAAGATTCGTTTTTAATTAACTAAAACATTATTTCTAATAAATAAAAATATTACGAATCAAATTCCATAATTTTCTCATTTGTTTTATGACAAAATTCCTGTGAATTATTTGTTGAAAAAGTATAGACGATAGAAAAATTACCAGATATTTTTTTAGAATTTCACAGGTGGCCAACTTAGGATTTGAAAAAATCGATTGAAAATCAGAAAAGATTTTGATAGTCTTCCAGAAGTTGAACCGAAACAAAATATTCGACTCGGGCAACTGCGTTGAAAGTCTGAAAACCTCCTAAACGGGACATAACTATAAAATAATTCCATCAGGACTTTTCAGGGTAAAATATTCGACTCGCGACTGGGTACTGAAATCAAGAACACGGTGGTTCTTAAAATAAAAACCTTCAGGTTATTTATTTATATCCTTGTCTCCGCAAATTATCTGCATTGATACATTAGATGAATTTTTATTTGGTTTTGCGGTCATTCGTAATTCCTCAGATGTTTGTGAGGTAAATTTTTCTTTCACACTGTTATTTGCATCGCATCAAATTCGAACTTTAGTACTGAGAGAAGAATATAATTTAATATCCATTCACTCCCAGTAGTTCAGGAGATATGATTCACAGCTTAAGGGATCATTCTGGTTTAGACACTTAAAAAAAAAGACAATTAAATAAATTTATTTAGGCTTTTATTTATAGAAATAGTAATAATTTATTAAATAAGTCCAGTAAATATGATCTTAAAAAACACAAAAAAAAATTTTTCAACTAATATTTAACTCTTTATATTTATGAAAATGGCCGCCAATTGTAACGTCTCGCGGAATTGACATGTCACTGGCGGCGTTGATATCTCGATGATGGATCATCTGAAATGAAAAAACCAAAAATATTTAGATTCAGTATGAGTGTAGCTCTCTTCCAAAGCAGAATTATAATTATTTATTAATAATTAACAAAATGGCGGACATGTAAAAAAAAAACCTGGAAAACGCGTTTTTTTGCGTTTTTCGCGTGAAAAAAAAATAGTAAAAATTAAAATTTTAATATAATTCTGCTTTACTGGAGAGCTATTTATGTGGAGAATATGTGGTTAAAATTTCAAGAGAATCGGTTCAGTGGTTACGGAGAAATCACCGCCGCCGACCGGAAAAATGTAGTTTTGAGAAAAACGCGTTTAAAGATTTTTTTAGTGAAAAATCATGAAAAAATCTTACCTTCACTTAATCTGCAATGCCTGCACCGTACAAAATGCCTTCAGCCTGCTCAAAATTTTCATTTTCTTCCAGTCTAGCCTTCTTTTGCTCAGTTCTGGCCTCTTTGGAAGACTGGGAGCTGCGTCGATTAGCCAATTTCACGCGCTTTTTATCGCGGTCTTCGGCAAAATTGACGGAAGTCGGTCCAAGTTTTACGCCCATAACGTCCATTATTTTTAAAATCGGAGTGAATCCTTCGTTGAAAATGCAGGCTGCCACTTTGCATGCAATTTCGACGATTTTTTTACCATTGAATATATGTTTAGGTGCCATACTCCAAACACATTTGTTGAAACTTTCGTTATTGTTTTGTGTATGACCGCCCAAACATCTTTCCAGGAGCTCTGCTTTGGTCAAGTCTTCATAAATTGGCTTTAAAACCTCTTGGACATCTTCTGAAAGAGCAGGAGGATGTTTGTAGCTCTGAAGGGTCGGCCGAGCGCGCACAGGTAGTAAGAAGGCTGCAGGTCAGTTGCGTCCCGCGGTCAAGAAAATGTCCGAGTTAGTCATAGTTAGACATCTCCAAATATTCTAAAAATTTTACACAATACTTTTGAATGTGTATCCTTTCCGAAAATGAGAAAAAAAATCGATTTTTGAAAAATTTTAAACCAGAATGATCCCTTAACAACATTTAATTAGTCAATGCACATATTTATAAAATTGCGAGGCTCGTCGTATCGACCAGGTGAGAGAGCAAAAAATTCACAAATGAGATAACTTCCTCCCCTCCTCAACCAAGTGATGCAATATTTGAATGCCCGCACCGGTGATTATTTTAAGAACCTAGGGTTCTTGTTTTCAGTCCCGTGGTGCTGAAAACTAGCAACTTTTTTCTCTGTTTTGTCCATAACATCAGATTCGACTGTATTGACCATAACAGGTGAGCGCACCGAGTAAAAATATATAATTCTGCGAATCAAATTTCTTTCGGACATACAGAATTATATTTTTTCCCAATGCGCGATATCCGTACTCCCTTCGATTCTGTATTTCAGTTCTCGTTCAATCCTCGCAGCTCTATTTCTCTTCACAAAGTGTTGCTCATTATCTCCTGACGTAGAAATGATGGAAAACGAATTTATCAGCTTTCTGTTATTCATCATCTCCGCAATGATGCCGTTATCATCATCGTCAGCACCATATTCTACTATGATAGATGAAGACGAACTGATGCAGGGAGTCACTGGATTCCGGTTGCCAAATAGCACAGCTCCCAGACTATACGTTTTGAATCTTGAACCTCATATTGATGACGATAAATTCACTTTTGATGGAGACAGCAATACTGTATTTGAAGTCCTATCTCCAACAACTAGTGTAACTTTACATGCTTTTTCATCGATGGAAATCAATGAGATATACACGTCACTCCAACACAGCAACGGCGCAATTGAGAAGCCCATTTCTCAAAGATTCAATTCAAGCCTTGAGTTCTTCAACGTCCGATTCAATCATACATTAATAGTTGGCAATTACACGCTGAGACTCAAGTGGAGGGGGAACGGAGTTTTGAATGACGGATTTTACCGAGGTACATACACGGATATCAATGGAATAACGCGGTAAGTATCTTAGGATTCGAATAAAATTGTGAAGAGTGAAGTGTTGAATCAGATGGATGAACTTCACTCCGAGATGAATTACTGATGGATACCTTAAGGTTGATGAAAGATGGAAGTGAACACAACGAACACAATTCTTTTATCCGATAATCAAAGGTTGCCTGAATCATGAAATCTAAATTACAAAACAGACTCGACTCGATGATTCAAATCTTTTCCGAGTTGATTCGATTTGTCTCCGTAAATAGATTGAATGAATTCGCAAATAAATCACACCATCATTTGAATTACAGTAGAGGCTTCGTATAAGATACCTCTCTATAAGATACCTCGCGCTCCGAGGGCTCGAGGCCTACCCCCACTCTCAGCACTTTTATCGCCTCCCAGATGTTTATGTTCCGTGGGATTCTTATAATATACCTATGGCCCCGGTCATTTTTCAACGGGAAGAGAGTAGTTATAACGGGTTATAACGGGAGGGACGAACGAAGTGATCATGAGGGTCTAATGACCTTAAGGGGGGCCACACCCCTTTTTTCAAATGATGGAAATATACATCGATTTTTTTTCACGTTTCTCATCGAAAAATCGTAATTTTTCAACTGTGATTATTTTTGATTCCGCCAACAATCCCCGAACATCAGCTGCCATTCTATCACGCGGGGTTATGTTTAGAGAGAAAAGGGAACGTGAGCGATACTAATTCACAACATTAAACACATATAAATTGATTAGTTATCGATATTCATTCAGTAAAAATGAAAACTTCATGGAATTCGGGTGCAAAGATCGAGGTATCTTATTTGAAATCCGGTGATCTCTACTTTTCTTCTCTCTATGGACGCGCCTAGTGGGAGAATAGGGGTCCCCGGAATCGTAGCAAAAATGAATGTCTGAATTTCACACACCTTTTGTAGACCTTTTTTAGACATTAAAAAACGTCTGAATACAATGAAAATTTGTCTGAATTTGAAAAATGAATTAAGATATTTTCTTTTCACAGCTGTTCGTCTGAAATTCAGACACACTTTCATTTTTTTCAAACGTTTTTTAGTATTTGAAAAATGTCGACCAAAGGTGAGTGAAATTAACTAAAATACCTCCTACAAGATTGAATGGGAAGAATTGTATTTGTTTTTCATTGAAAAAAAAATGATGAATTGAAATGAAATCTCTTTCACGTAAATCCGATTCCTTATGTATTACATAACTTGATCTCCCTGTAAAATTCATATAGTGTATAGCCAATAGATGGTCTTCCTCAGCATTAGTGCAAAGTAAATTTCGGATAACTCGAAAAACAATTGAATGTTCATAATTGTTATCTTATCATTGTTTGAAACGATCTTGATAAATTACGAACTACTACGATCTCTTCCAGGAGGCCATCAGCATTCGAGATATTCAAAGTGTAGGGCTAGTACCAGAATTTGATGGAAGATATTTCAAGTATATTTGAGTCGGTGGATTTTTTATTTTAACATGTCAATTTGCGAAATACGACAGCACCCATTCAATTCGAGGAATTTTAAAAGTAACGCAAACAAGTGAATAATCGCATTTTTAAAAATTAAGCATAGTTATTATTGCTAATGAATTAGCAATTCGCTTTTGAATCGATTTTTCGTTTTCAGAATACTATATTTTGTTTGTTCTTCAATTTTAAAATTCATTATATTCTTTTAAATCAGTAGGGAAGTGGTAAAACGGTTCAAGTCAATTTTGACTGTTGGCCGGTTTTCAATGACCATCTCGGAATCTAAGGGAGATACAAAAATTTTTGTTATAACCTTTTTTGTAGAACCGATTGAGATCTACAACAAATGTCATTATTATAATTTCGCTATCCCCCTTAGATTCAGAAATATTCCTAAAAAACTCAACTGGGAGATAAGTCGACTTAAACAGTTTTAACACTTCGCAACAGAAATGTATTACAAGCTTCCAGTCAGGAGGAAAAGCGACCTTGAAGTGAAATCTACTCATCTGTTTATTACCTTCCTTTAACTGAAGAGGAAGTGAGATGCAAAGAATAGTGCAATCACTTGAAGGTTAGGATTTCCAGTCTTTATTCAATCATGATCGCATTGCAGATACATAGCAGTGACTTGCTTTGAGCCATTCGCAGCTCGAAAAGCTTTTCCCTGCTGGGATGAACCCGCTTTCAAGGCTCAATATGAAATAACGTTGCTGCATTATGGCAATTACACAGCACTATCCAATATGCCTATTAAAGAGGAAACGTCAGCAGAAGATAGAAAGATATGGACGACCTTCGAGAGATCTCCAGTAATGTCAACATACCTCGCAACATTCGTACTGACTCAGTACACTAATCACGTCAATGAGCATGGCAATGTAACATTTTGGGTCAGACCAGAGAAACTGAAATCTACTGCACTTATCTCAGAAATGACTCCTAGAATTGTACAAGCGTTGGAAGATTACACCGCTATTCCTTACTTCTTACCCAAACTTGACAGTATTGTTATGGAAGAGTACTTTGTTGCTAGCAGTGAGCACTGGGGTCTCATCAGTTATTCGTAAATATCATTTAAATATTCTGCATAATTCACCCATTTTTCTGCCTATTTCGTTTTTAGGAAGTATATCTTGTATGATCTTGAGGTTAACAAACTATCGGAACGTAATACTGCACTTGTATTAGCAGCTCACGAAATTACACACCAATGGCTAGGGAATTTAGTAACTCCTGCGTGGTGGAATGACATTTGGCTCAGTGAAGGCGTCACTGAATATTTATCACACAGTATATTGGATATTGTAATTATTCATATCATAATATGATAATATCATTTTTGTATTCTTCTCAGTCGAATTAATGGTGAACAGGGATTAATGTATTCCACTCCAGGTCATGCCTAATTCGCACTTCATGGATGTCTTTGTTATTTCAACCATTACCGACCCATCGTTTGGAGCAGAAGAAACGGAAATAACCCGACTTCCGGTTCGATGGATGCCATCTACCCCGGAAGATGTTTGGGAATTGTTTTCTCCAGTAACTTATAATAAAGGTGAATGTCTCGTAATCAATCTCGGTTTATAGGTTTACTGGTCTTTCAATTGATGATGTCTCTCGACGGTTCTCCATCGTCTCTGAGTTTTGATATACTTCCGTCCTTCCCAAAAAATTGCCAGTCAATGCCAGTCAATGTTAATCTGATATTGCCTCAGCATCTGCCAAGGTTGCGTCAATGTCGGGCGGACGTTGGTTTATTCCTTCTTATCTATGCAAGGGCACTTTAGAACGATTATCTCAGAAACAAATACTTAGTCCAGTCAAAATAGCTTCAACTTCTCAATTTTTACCTACGTCCCTGCGAATTGGCCCAAGCGTTAGACTTTAGCTTAACTAAGAGTTTTTGAGTAGACACAGGGTTCGTGCATCCCGGAGAGGGTGAGAAAAATATGAAAAACTACCCCCGAAATGCATTTTTCGAGAATAACTTGAAAACGACGGAATACATCGAAAAAAGTGTTAAATAAAAACTATAGAAGATAAAATTCACTTTGCCTCTACCCCCTACGGTTCATCCCCTACAGCACTGTAAACGGTTGAGAAAAGAAAAAAAATCGAAAAAATTATTTTTTCAATTTTTTCCTTGTTCCAATACAATCAAATAGTTGAGTATTTTCATAAAAAGAAAAAATATATATATAGGGAATGGGGGTGAAAATAACCATGTCGAGCAGCGATATCTCATGAAATATTGGTGAAATGTTTATTTCTCTTTTTTCCAATTTTTATTTATAATTTTTGCTACAAATAATTACTTTATCGTTTTGCCGTATGCCCTATAGTTTTTGTGTTTCACCCCATTTCCCCGTTTTCATCCCCGAACTCTGCCTCTCTCAGAGAACCACTGCACGGGGAAGATATACATACATATATATATATATATATATATATATATATATATATATAT